ATGCCGCCGAATTTTACTTTTTCTCTGTTTCTTGAAAGTAAAAAATAGGCGAGTTGTACGTGCATTTCGAGTTCCAGGTGGGCAGCCCCTGGACCAAATTGGCTGAAATTCGGAGAGAATGTTGTCAGAACGATCGCCGACAATACTGTGTCTGCGAATTCTGATTACTCTTTTCATTAAAAAGTTATGCCTTTTTTTCGCGGGCAGTCCTATTTTCGTCCCTTTTCTAACTTCATCCTCTTGTAAAATAATAACAAACGCATGTGCCAAAAATCTGAGACACTGTTTTTGAGGTCAATGTGTGAAGAAACGGACGCCATGTTAATCGTTTTCTCCGACTTAAATTGAGCGGGTGTATACCTTGATTTATGGGTTCGTGAAGCTTTGTAAATATATTCACATTTTCGAAACACGGTAAATTTCTACCGTTTTAAACAGGTCGGGTCATAATCTGTAGTTATTAAGCTTCCAGTAAATATACGGTTTATATGGGTTTTTGTTAAAGCAACGAACGCTAGAGCGGACCGCGCGCGGATGGTCAAATGGGTTATACTGATACCTTAATTATTTTCCGCTTTCAGCCTCGTTCCTATGTTGCAAGGTGCAGGATCTGGAAAGAGAACCTCTTAAAAGCGAAACTCCTGAGATTTCAAACTGGAAGCAGCAATATTCTTAATCAGGGTGACAAGACGAAAATTTTAAGCTACGTTTCCTGCTTCTACTCAAAATGTTTAGCGAAAATGAAAAATAAGCACATTTCGAAGCTGTGCCTGGGGACGAAAATGGCTTTTTCTTTTCCAAAGCAAGCCTTTCCTTGTTTGAACGTGAAGAATTGTGGGTATAATATAATTAATATAATGTCTCTGTGATGTATGCATTAGATTCGGCACGTGTGAAGTTCGCCTTCTGAATAGAAGTCGAACTTCTGCCGTTCTATTCGAGTGGCAGTCGAATAGAACGGCGGGGTCGACACAAAAAAAGATGTGCTGATCGTAACTGATTCAGAAATCGAACTTCATTGTGACATAAGGTTCCACGTTTAAACCTGGCCTAAGCCGCTTCGTTTTGAAGAGGGGGAAAGTTAAGAGTCATAAACTACCCCATATCAAATAAATACATTGTAAGGCAGGAATGTATAGAAGGGAATATATTCCATCAGATTTTCGGCAATAATACTTTGAGCAATGTGTTTGTTTGAAGTGAACCTTTCGTGTCTTGGTCAATATCACTGAATTATTTGTTTACCAGACCACTTTCACTTCTTTTTGCTACAACTTTATTTTACACCCACAAGCAGCAAAACGTTGTTCGTTTCTTGGCTTAAAACAGTTTAATATGTGTTTTACCTAAACTGACAAACAAACTTGGAGAGCTCAGTAGAACACCTCGATCTCATAACAAGATTCTTTTCCAAGCGGTTTTAATTAATACACATTGTGACTTGCAGAGTAAACACTTAGAAAGATAAAACGATATAGGTGAACTCTTATGAAAAAACAGAAATAAGAAATAAGGCTAAAATTGTTTCTATATTTTTAACGCCACTTTGATTGCATGGTTCTCTCATCGTAGACTTTTTCAAAACAATTAGACTACAAAACCGAGTATTTCTGTGAGCGAATAGTCAACAAAGCATAGCAGAGTTGACTATCGCTCATAGAAAACGAGGGTGAGTAATCTAATTGTTTTAGTACACTCTAAAGGATTACGGCACAAAACCTACAATTTTGAGTATTTCTTACCCTAAAATTAAGAAGAATTTTCAGTTTCAAGAGCAGTGTGCACGCCAGATCAATGTCTATCAGCGAATAGAAAACGATGAGCGAACCATTTAGATTAGTGGATTTTAAAAAGGTCACAGCTTAGTGGCTACTCGCTAATAGTCCACGATCGCACGGGCGTTGTCCTAGATAACCCGCCGTTGCTTTTTATGAGTAATAGTCAAGTCGGCTGTGCCTCGTTGACTGCATTATAACTATTATTCATACAGGTCACATAACTGTTTACACTACCTAAACTTATGATAAGCTGGTTTGTTCGTACGTTCGTAATCACAACGACAAGACTAGAAAAATATTCAGCTGGGAAAAATATATATCATATTTCTATTTTAAAAAAACTCTACCTTTAGATATTAATCAAATGTTGTCAAACGGGCATTAACAACCTTTTGTACGCAATTTACTAGAATAAAATCTATTTACAATAATACCGGGCTAAAAGCCATACCCTTTAAAATGTCATATTTATCCTGCGCTAAAAGTGTTTTAACAGCTAAGACTGTTTTAACAGTTTTAGCGCAGGATAAAATTAGCAGTTCACAATCAACAAGTTGTATTATAAGAGTTAAAATCACAAAATCGCCCTAAGAGAATTGCGCAATACAAACTGCTCTTGAAACAATCATAAAGTGTTATTCAAAGAGTTAAAATCATAAAATAATCACACAGTACGTACGTCCTATCACTGAACGAGTTCAGCATTGATAATAAATAGAAATCTACGTTTAACAGAAATTCAATTTTACGTACCAAATGTACCCTACAAAGAAAATTGTCATCTTTTGGAGGAATTGATCAGAGTTTGAGTCCAGGGAAAACACAGCTTAAGATCTTCGCCGAGCCGGACCATGCAAATAGCTCCCTTTCGAGCATGTCTGAGTCCTTTATTCTTTCCTGTGCCCTCTCACGCCTTTCTTCCAATCCTTTGTTTGTTACATTCTTTGCTCCAATCGGACAAAATTCAGTTTAAACAGGGCTACATGCCGTGAGTCGTAATAGGAGAATTGTCATTGAAAGCATCTCTTCGAAATATTTCTTATGAAATTTATTTTGAAGAGTTTGCATATGTGCATATGTTTATATATGCAACAAAGGCATCTCAGTCTGTGGATCTCAAACTTGATAATCAAACATGAAAGGGTAAAGTTCAAGGACAAGTTGTCGCACAGTTGCCAAGGAGGGTTCTTGAACTGACTCTGTTTAGTCTACGACAATAACAACAACTAACAGTAACAATCCTATCCAACGAGACCTATATAAGATTCTCAAGCAGTTTTAAGGCCTGGGTCAGGAATGTAAGGTAGAATTATGGTTGGGCAGCTATATCTCTTGTTATATTTGTTTTACCAAGCTGAAATTTTCCCTGATTATAACACTCGGCGTCTTGCCTTGCCTTAACATATTATTTTGAGCACGTGACGTGCCGCGGGATCATTTTGTTAAAATTTAGTTAATTGGCGAATTGGTGGTGAATTTTCATTCTATTGATCAATAAATTAGCGCTTTCGATGCAAATTGAAATTATCTACCTTCCTACGTTTGGAATGATCTCCATTGATTTCGTTTTTAAAAGACAAAAATGATCAAAAGTCCAATTTTGTTGAAAAAATGTCTTTGACCTTACAAAATTCTTTTGCGACCTTCTGCGAAAAGAGGAACAATCATTCCAAACGTGCGAGGATGGAATAAATTACCCTGCATCTAATACACGTTTTTCCTGGATGATATTACTAAAATCGGCCACCAATTCCTCCAAATAGGGATGGTTGAAAACTGTTCACCTGCACATTCCCTGAAAGAGGGAACGCATAGGTGAACACCTTCGAACCATCACGAGCCTGAACCCGCCCGGTTTCCCCATTGCTGAACACCCCTGTACATGACCTAGACGACATGAAGGTTCACTGCATCAAACAGTGGAGGGGTGTAAACAGCGCCAGCCACCTCGACGAAATGTGTGCACATATTCTAGTCTGATGACGGTATAGTTCTTACAGAAATATAACTTCCAGTTTTGCCAATTGTTGTCTGAATTTCGACACCGGCAATGAATATTCTGCTTGGGGTCTCTCCTGCTGAAAACTGCCTCTGCAAGGGATTTTTCATACTCGAAACCACATCCTCTTCCCTGAAGTTTCAGCTGATGTCCCAGCCAATGGCGAAATGTTTGAGGATGGTTAGTCTTCCAGGGTTTTGGGGAAACAAAAGAACGTGGTCATTTATTTCGACAGAAGAGGGTACACCTTTGAAAAATGCAAGCGTTTCAAGAGATCAAGTGAACAACTTGTGACCTCCTTGGGGAAGTTCCAGTGACATGCGCCAAACTAGCCAAATGAGTTTACCCTGCAATGCAGGCGTTTTTATAGCGAGAAGGTGTATTGCAATAAAGCATACACAACCCACTTGACCCTCAATAGTCTCCAAAGCACCTGGATGGGCACAGTTAGCAATGGCATGGCAATCAGGAAAGGGAACTGAGGGACAGTTCGAGCTTGCAAAATAAAGGGTTTAGGTGAGCTGTAGAGTCTGGCCAATATAACATAATCTATATTTATTAAACTTCTTCCCTTTCTTATGCTACATTGTTATAGTCCTATAAAAACAGAAACGCACTTCAGTACTTTTTTTTACTTCTTTATCTAGAACAATTAATTAATATTTAACCCATATTAAGCGAAAACTATACAGCGTCATAAGTATGAAAATTAATTATACATGTACCACTTACTATCGCAGAAGTCACGTTTCACTTCCTAAAAGAGCTAAATTTACTTTCTGAATCCTTTTTACCAGCTTAATTAACACTGGTTTTAATCAAAAGCAATTATAAATACACAAACAGTATAATTGAATTAATTCTATTACTACTGAAATATTGAGCTATAACGATACCTCGAAACGATAAACGTAAATTAAGGTATGTTTCCTACACTGATCCGATATAAAATATGACAAAACTAAAAAACAACTGAAAGACTTCTCGTAAAGCTATAGAGCCCACTACATCAGCAACACCTTTTAAGCCTATTTTTGACACTTTTCTCACCACTTTTAACGGTTATCAAGGTTAAGAACATTTTGCACTCAAACTTCTTAGAAATATCTGTCTTATGCGTGTGCCTTAACAAACTTTATCCGGTCTAAGTTTATCATCCTGAAGAAACGTTACCTGTGCAACTTAAAGGAGCTCTGTCAAGACATTTCAGGTAATTTTACTGATGTTCAAAAATACTTCCAAAGTAAACGAAACCCAGAAATCCTCATAATTTTCAAGGGCAGAACAGCAACAAAAAAAAGGTGGAAAAGCAAAACAGCGGACTACAACTGAACTGCAACCTTGAAAAAGTTGGCCATTTTTTTCAAGATGCGTTGGCCTCAACGAAGCTCCTTTAATTTGTATGATTACTTCACTACCTGAATGTCTTTGTAAAAAACGCTAACACTACTTGACTTGACCAGCACTGTTTATACAAACTTACACTTTACAAACCGTTTCTGAAAACAGTACATTATTTTGTACTACTATTGATTAAATCATCTCCATTATTATTGAAAACTAAAGATCATATTCTAGTTCAGGGGCGGATCCAGGATTTTTCTTAGGACAGGGTGCATCACTAAGGAATGGCGTACCTGACTTGGTGGGGTAAACAAATTCTAAAAGCGAATACGCAGAAGAAGGCTTCAACTCAGGGAGGGGGTGAGGTTGCACACCCCCTGCACCCTCCCCCTGGATCCGCTCCTGTAGTTAACGTACATATTTTGATTTGAGTTTACATAGTGATACAAGGATTAAGCTGGTAAATCCCATAAATTCATACGAGTGATCACTCTTTCTTATTTCTCCACACAGTATCAACACACTGTCAAGCAGGCAGGTGAAGAGAACAACGAAAATCATCAATTTAGTATTATTGTTTTGATGTGCCACCCAATTCTCCCAACTAAAATTAAAAACATTTAATGGTAATCGATAAGGAGAATTAATTTCTCGATTTCAAAACAGAATTCAAGTCCAGGAGAGACTGACCTCTAGGTCTTCGAAGGTAGCACCAAGCTAGCTCACAAACTTGAGTTCTTTTTATTCAGTATTTGCGCCCTTTGATGGTTTTCTCTTGACAGAACTGCGAAGTCAGTTGTAATTCGAGTTGTATCTCAAATATTTGAACAGATCTATGCTCTTCGAGCAAATTTTCATCAGGTTTAGTTTGCGCTTGCCGCCCCAGGAAAGTTTCAAATAGCGGTTCCCAGAAATACTTTTATCAGAGAATGAGGTTTAACTGATACCTGAGAATTTGGCAAAATTTGTCAGCCGCGAATTAACGCTTCTTTTTAACCTGACAGCTGAGATCTGAGATACGCAAAATTTATTGATACCTGGGAAATGGGCTAAAAGTTAAAATGATAACTGAGATTCTAGCACCCTAATCCAGAATCTCTTCCCAGCTGTCGTTCCAATTCAGTTACACCATTCAGCACTAACTAGCTCTGGAAATAGCAACAGTAAAGGATAAAGGAAACTTTCCTTTAAGAAAAAAATATTGAAATATGGCAACAGCCTGCACTGACTTAATTTCACATTTCATATTTTGCTGCTTGGAGAAATTCTCGCCATGTTTGGAAACGCTGGCTTCTGTTAGAATATTGAAGAAAATTCTCCAAACCTACCTCAGACGGCCGCAATCCTATGTTAGAACAGCTCCATACGTTAAATGTAATACCTAGTCGGATTCGTAGTCAGAAAAATCCTCATCTTCTTCAAAGTCAGAACTGCTTATTGGCTCAAGCATGTCATCCTTAATGGATGACGAGCTAATCTGAGATGCTGAAGCGATTTGTCCTTGCAGTTGTAGACTTGTCTCAGCTGTCTTTACTTTGCCTTTCGAAGGTGACGTCGAAGGTATCAATGGCAGCGCAGCGCCCAGTCTACAGAGTTTTATCATGCACACTCGACCAGACGACGTAAAACAGACAGCTCTGTCTTCTTCAGTGGACACGGCCATGCTTACAATGCTTTCCTGCCCTTCAGCTATCCTGGCGAATCCAACAGCTTTCGACGCGCTGATGTCCCACAGAAAGACCATACCATCAACGCCGTATGAGATAAGATAACGATTTACTTTTAAAAACCGACAAAACTCAACTTTACCAAGATGGCCGCGAAGAACTTGTTGGGCCCGTGAGAAATTGATATTGGAAGCATTGAGACTGTACACAAGAATTACGTCTGCGATGCAGCATACCAAAAACTGCTTGTCTACTGACAAAGTGCACTGGCTGAACCTAACAGAGTTGTAAGGCTTATCGACTGCGAGTCTGGTAAGAAGGTGGTAGGTATGTTCAGCGTACTCCCAGATTTCAATTTCGTAGTCACCACACAAGACTAGTTCTCGTTTATTCGATGAAAGATAACAACATTCTGCGGTGAGGAACCCTGGTGATTTGAAAGAAGCTGAAACAGCTTCCTCTTTGATATCCCATGTATAGAAATGTGAATCATTCCTGCTATCCTGGATACAAAAGAGAAGAAAGAAGCTCTCAGCTGAAAATGCAAAGTATGTAACCGTGAACTGGTGTGCAGATTCAAACACTGAATGAAGCAAATTCAATTCCGAATTTGCAAAACTGTACAACTCTACCTTGCGTGACCAGTGAATGGCAATTAGACTTCCGTCTGAGGACAGCGCACAATTCTTCACAAGGAGACACTGCTGGTAGTCTGCAGTCGACGAATACTTTGAAGAGAAGGCGATGACGTCTTTATCAGCAACAGTGGAAGTTTCCCATAAAGTAACAACCAAGTCAGACGTAACAGACATAACAGTATTACCTGAGCAGAAAATCGCTGCAACGGATTTTCCGAAAACCGATGGTTGCACAGGTGATGCTGAAACAAACTTAAAAGGACTAAATAAACTTGTCAACAAGATGGCTGTCTCTTCGGTACCACAACGAAACAAATAACCAACCTGCCTTTCTCCTGCAAAGTAGCAAAGGTTACAGCCCGACACACTCGCGAGTACCTTACCTGTCGTGAGAGATAAGGCTTGCAGTGAACCTTCACAGGAATACACCAAATAAAGATCATCATTTGAAAAGGTAAAGCGTGTGAACTTACCGAAGGTGTGTTCTGGTTTTTCGTGATAAATATGGTGTCGTTCTTGATTTCCTGTTTGTAACAAACTCATCTTCAGTGAATTACCGGTCTGGATTACCCATTTTGATTCTGGTGACACGCAAGCAACAATTTCGTTGTTAAAAACATTAACGAGATCCTGAAAACCTTTAGGAATGTTTCTCCACAGGCCAATCTTGGATGCGTTATTGTGGACCTCCCTCAATAACTTAGCGGATGCAAAACCTTGCCATTTTGTACGCTCCTCCATCTGCTGTTTTAAGAGCTCGTAAATCTTCTCTATTCTCATTAAGTCCATATAATCTGGGTATGCACTTCCAAGTCCAAAACCTTCCGAAATCATGATGAACTTTAGAAGGTCAATCGGCTCCCCACAATTACCCACTAGCTCGAACAGCTGCTTCAGCTTTCGCGTCATCTCCTGCAGAGTCTTGTTCGGTTTATACTCGTGCATCCACAACGACTCCAGACTATGATCCACCATACACGCAGAATAGAAAAAGAACCTGTGCAAAGCAGTTATTGTGGCAATGTTACAACATGACATGGCTTTCCATATGCCAGAACAGCCCATTTTTGATCCATCTTCACTATAAGCACAGAACACATGGCTGAAATAGGTGAACGGGTTGAGCTCAATGTCCGCTGAAAAAACTTGCTGCAACAAAGGCATCCCAGTCTCTAGATCCCAAACCTGATATTCAAATATGCATGGGTAGAGCTTAATGACAAGTTGTCGTACAGCTACTAAGGATGGTTCTTGATTTGACTCAGTTAATTCTCTTAGTCTGCGACAGTAATAGCAAGAAGGATTGTCACGAACGTCACCCTCATCCAATATTTCGTCACCCTCATCCAATATTTCGCTCAATCCATGACGCTCGAACAAGCGTCTGATTTGCATCCCTGCTTTGCTACATGGTTTTTTCTGTTTCAATCCGTCAGGACAAAAACGGACGGTCAGCTCATCATCTCCACTCTGCTCACTCTCCTTCATTGCCCAAAGAGCCAGTAAGTCAAAAACACAAGACTGACCCTCGCAGGTACTCGGATTAGACAGAGAACTTCTATTCACGACAATGCACTGTCCATCACGAGTCAGTACGCCCCATTTATAGATATGAGAATTCCCTGAGAATTGAGGAAAGTCCTCCACACAACCTCGATCAACAGAAAACCATTTGTCGAGACGTCCAAAAAATAGGAACTTACCGTCGGGAGAATACTCCAAATGGTTAATGCTATCAATAGTTTCGTTGCTTAGATCAAAAGGATCGCTCACTCTTTCTACCGTAGATGGGTCAAAGAATTGCAGAGACCGACCCTTTGCTCCAGCCACTGTCCTCCCATCAGGTGATGTGGCAAAGCAGTGCATGTGAGCAATGTTAGCGTCAGGAACAGGATAAAAGAACCACTCAAAACAAGGAGTGGACATTTGAGGGATGGAAACGGTCTCTTGGACAGCGTTTGAAGCATTTCGTATGCAGGAGTGCAGAAGGTAGGGGCATTTCAAGAGAACAAGAACATTGTTTTCAAGAGCAAATACGATCTCCAGGAGGATGTCTTGTTTCCAAACTTCGTCAAGGGAAAGACAGCTCGCAGCAAGCCTTAAATCGTCCAGCAGGTGGTAAATCTCAATTCTTCCACTTTGTATCCTTCTCTCAATGAAATCATAACTCGTCAAGCAATCGTAAACAGCCTTCAACGAATCTTTAGCCCCATTCTGACACAAAACGCGAACGGCCACGGACGAAACGTAGTCCTCCAAATCGGCGTCATTTGACAGGCATGTTGGTCGCGATTCGTTCACAATAGAAGACAGGATTTCAACAAAAATCGTTCCAACATACTCACCTGCAATCTTCTTATTGATGAACAACCTTCGCGAAGCTTTGGCTTTGTCTGTCAACCACGCTGGGATCAGATTGTGAAGGAAAGTTAATGTCTGATCAGATGTCCGTAACACCACAAATTGTGATACAGCATCGATCACTTGTTGCTCATCGTGATTTGATTTCTCTCTCTTTAGAATGTAAGAAATGATTGAAACAGGAAGTGGAGTGGGGGCTACGATGGCACAACCAAACAACTTCTTGAAGATATCCTGTCCCACTTGATCATACACGCGCGTAAAATTCTGCAGAAAAAAACTGTCGATATCTCCAGGGAAAAAATCGCTCAACTGATTCAATTCCTTACCTGAATACAGAGAAAGCCTAAGTTCTTCCACAATGTAATGTGCATACAAGAATAATCCGTTACACTTTTTTGATATGGCTTCTACCGTGACGGATAAACGAGAGAAATCAATTCTCTTTTTCAAAAACGTTTGGATGTCCTGCTCATGCTGCTGATAGAAGTTGTCTTGATCGCTGTTTCCAGCGCAAATTTTAACACAGGGGTTGTACTTTTTCAATCTGAACTGCACCGAATCTTCAGGGCGACTGGTGATAAAGAACACAAGCCAATCAGGAAGCAGGGGAAAGCAGTGCATTATGAGATCAAGGAAATCTTCCCTGGACTCATACTCTGTCTCGTCTAATGCGTCAATGATGACTAACCTTCTCTGGCTACAGGGCAAACACTTACTTAATGGTTCTTGTAATAATTTTGTAAAGAGCTCCCGAACACCAAGTTCAGAATTGTCTAAAAACACTTTTACTCCACTCTCTCCGCGTACAATTACTTTATACTGAGTATTACAATCACAGAGTTCATGGGCAACAGTCCCAAGAAGATACCTGGGATCGTTTCTTGTACCATCATTGTGACGGCAGAAGTAGGCAGCTCCTAAGTGTCCAACCTTTCTCATGCGCTGTGCCATGACTCCCGCAATCACACTTTTTCCGACACCTGGATCGCCTAGGAGTACATAAGCTCGCGAGTTGCCTGGAGTGTGGAACCACTCGTCAAAATCGTCAAAAAACCACTGCCTTGTGTCTGCATCGTAACGTTCGGCAAAAAATGTGACGTCAATTTCACAACTGGCAATCTCTGAAAATAAAATTTTACGGTACACTTTTTTTTTTCCCATGAACAAGTAACTTTAAAATTTAAAAGCCATTTAAAAGCAAACAGTAAATAAATGAATAAATAAATACATTAATTAATTAACTGAGCCGCTATGCCAACTACTTAAAGGCTAAGTTTGTTTTAGGTGTATCATGTACGTTTTTTGGTTGTCATTCATTGTGTTCTTTCTTTGTTATCCTTTTTCAGTCTCAGTTTAGAGCCTGTGGTTAAAGAAATTATACAGCGAACCGCAGATTTTCAAGTAATTATAACTTCTCGTTATATTAGCAACTTACCAACGGACACGTTGCTGTGGAATTGCCGGGAAGCTCCATTTGTGGGACCTTCATAACTGCAGTTCCCTGAAATAGATCAAAGGCTCTTTAAACCAGCTTGTAATATTTGAAGCGGACATGTTCATATAACATAATATTAAGGTTGGTACAAAGATTAATTAAGGTTGGTAGAAAGATTTCGGGGAGTTGTATTTTGCCTGTCACAGCATAAATTTTAAAAATCGTTAATTTAGAGATAATCATTAAAGGGCCCAGTCAAACACACCCTTTTTTCGTTTACATGCAAGAGTTTGGCTATTATATTACTTTCTTTTTGAGGAACACAACTTACAGTTAAGCAATAAGATTTCGCTTCACCATGCAATACTAATCAGTAAATCCGATGGTATCGAAAATGACGGAGGCTGACTAGGGTCCTTTAAGCTCATTTAGGTGAAACTTTTGAGCTGTTTTGATTGTTACAAATGATAAAGTCTGCACAGCACTTTATCGGTAAACAACTATAATCAACTTAATGTCTATCAAATGAGATAAAATCCACATTTCATTTTAAATCTCCTCGCCCTTAGCTAGTCGGGTGCTAATCTGATATGTTGATTGTTGATTCGAATCGCCCTACTGTATCATATCCAATGGTCGTCGCCCGACTCCGTTATGTGGCTTTCGACTTGTGAATAGGATTTCAACAGACGTGTAACGCAATCGCACGAATTTAGTTTGATCACGTACTGTGACTCGAATCAACAACAGACTGATTCGCGCTGCAGTTATAAGGTGAATTTGACTAGCAATACGGTCAAATAGAGCGCCAGTCTGCTGTGCGGGAGGTCGAGGGCTCGAGCCCCAGACCGGACCAACACTCAGGGTCTTAAAATAACTGAGTGGAACGTGCTGCCTTTGAAATCACACCTGCAAATGGTTAGACATTCAAGTCTTCTCTGATAAAGACTATAAACCGTAGGCCCCGTCTCCTGCATCTCCAGTGTTACATGGTTAGCAAGGGACGTTAAAGAACCCATACACTTATCGAAAAGAGTAGGGTACGTAGCTCCCGGTGTTGTAGTCTGACCTTGTCTCACGGGTTGGTGATTAACCTCATTGCACCTTTCCTCCTTGGACAGAACTGTCCAAGAAAAATTGCTATGACTATGACTATGGCTCCTCTGCTCCCTGTAGTTGTAGGTTGGTGCAGTAGTAAGATTTCAGAAGCGGTAATCTGAAGGTGGGGGTGCTACTCCTGGTGAGGTAACTTTTATTTCTACCGTGCTACTAACGAATGGTTGCGTTTGTATAGGCATAATGAAATATATAAATGTTCAAGCCATGAAAATAATGTAGTTTCATAAGAAAATGAGACGAAATGAAATAACACCCGGAAGAATAGCAATTTTCGAGCGTGAAACCCTCGCACATGATTTTTGGCAACCCTACCAAAATTATCGATGGATCGAATTATACACCAAATTTTATTGTATGCCAAGTAGTCTTAAAATTTAATTAAGAAATAGAAAACATGTACCCTGTTTCCATCGAGTTATAGAAACACGAGTGGAAGTTTGGGAGAACAAGAAATGCTGTGGGAACACTGTTGGATTAGCTGTTAAAGTTACTCTACAATCCGAGGGTAAATAAAGTATACTACTACTACTACTAC